TTATATTTATTTCATTTCCGGTCTAATTTTTGGGTGGAAAGTGATCCAAAGGGAGTCAAGATGCTTGGATAATTTTCTCTATGCTGTAGCTATTGTGCAGTTTGTAAGGGTCCCTTGTAAGCCTTTATTTCTAAGAAAAGTGATGTTATCCAAAGAGCTTTGTATATCCTTAAATATTTCGTTAAGATTGTCTGACGTTGTAAAGATAACAACGTCATCTGCGTATTGAATTTTGACAAGTAGTGAGACGCATTTATCCAAGTCTCTCAGATATAAGTTGAAAATTAAGGGGCTGAGAGTTGAATCTTGAGGAGTGCCTTTGTGCGGAAAGAAAGAACCCTCCAGTTTGCCTTTGTTGATGAAGAAAATTTCTCTTAGCGTGATTAGATTCTCGAAGAATTTGCGTGTTTTAGCCGGAACATTGATTTTTTCGAGGTCCTGATATACCAATTCTGGGGCACATTGTCGAATGCACCAGTGATATCTAGAAAAATTGCCCCTGTACGAGGGCTGTTTGATAAGTACCCGTGTTTGACGACTGAGGGCGTCACTGACTAAAAGTCTGTATACCATCGTGTAACGCCATCTTTTGAACGACGCAAGTAAAAATTTCAGACAGCTGTACCGGTTAGTTTAGTTTTTATAACAATTGAAAGTTGACGAGTTTGTGCTTGTTTGCAATCACGGAAAAAGAGCAACATCGATCTGTGATTCGATTCCTGTTTTTGGATGGGAAAACATGTGAAGGAATCAAAGAAAAGTTGCATGTCGTATATAAGGATAACGCACCTTCGATGACTACCATAAGATATTGGTACAACGAATTTAAGCGTGGCCGAACATCCATTTTTGATGAAGAGCGCCTAGGTCGTCCGATTGAGGTGACTACGGAGGATATGGTCAACAAAATCCATGATATCGTGTCAGCAAACCGTCGTGTGAAGATCAGAGAGATTGCTAACATTGTAAAGATCTCAACTGAACGCATACAAAATGTCCTACACGAAACATTGGGCATGAAAAAGCTATCGGCGAGATGGGTGCCGCGTTTGCTCACAGGGGAACAAAAACGGAATCGCATGACAACTTCAAAGCACTGTTTGGACATGTTTAAGCACAATCCGAAAGAGTTTCTGCG